AATCCTATTTTGCAGGTACAAGAATAAGAATAGAACAAAGCCTACTCCTGAGTTGATTCCTTTGGACGTTCTATATAGCCATGGGCATTTTCTGTTTTTATGCCCCACCCCCCCACTGCAATCTTGTCCAGCAACTGAAATATGATACGAGACCGACATTTTTACTTCCACCCTATCGATTTTTTTCTTCACTTTTCATTATTTCCTGAAGGAAAAGTAGAAATAAAGGCCACTTTGTCATATGGAAAAGTCACTCTGGTAGCTTAATGCTGACGTGATTAAATGGGAGTTAAGGACTTACCTTCAGTTATGTTCAGACCATTTCCCATGGAGGGACATACCTGTCCCCTGCCCATGACGAAATGCTCTGAATCCCTGTGGGTGTCTGGGGCATGGGAAGTTGAAAACTTATTTCAGAGATGAGCTGAAGACACAGAGCATTACCTCAAAATCATCCCTCAATTGACAGCATCTTTCAGACTACAGGTCGTCTAAACTGGCTCCATACCCTCAGGGATTCTTTCTCCCAGTCATAGGGACAGAAACCCAAGGAGCTGCATGTTACTCATTATCCCACAAAGGGAGCAATGCTCCCTTGAGGCCTTTCTCTAGGTCAGTGGTGTCAAACTCAAATAGAAAAAGGAGCTACCAAGCAGTGCATAATGATCCATGTCGGCTTAGAAAACCACATACTAGCATTATCTATACTTCATTGCATTTTAACTTATTTTGTTAAATATTTGCCAATTACATTTTAATCTGGTTTAGGCCTCATTCAGGAGCATTGTGGGCCATGTTTTTGACACCTCTGCTCTAGATCATATGAAAGAACTTTCATTTAACTCAGCCCTGGAAAAGGGTCATTTGCTGACTCTATGAAAATTATTTAACAGAGGGTTGACTTAGAAGACTGCTGTTTTCATTCATTCTGGCACTACCTTCACAGAACAGGATGGGGGCTGATTTTTTTTTAAGTACTTAGGGTTTTTTTTTTCCATTCTGTGACACATGCAAGATTTTTCCCTGCAAAAATCTATGAAGCCTGGAAAAAATGTTCATCATCTTGCCACAAGGGGCCAGGGTTCTCTCACATGAGCTCCGGAAAGTCCAATACCTAAATCTCTCTAAAACAAAGAAGAGTGATCGAAAAATGCCAATGCATTGACTAACAAGCAGAATTGACTGTTCAGAGCAAAAAGACCTGTGTGATGTGATCCTTTTGGTGTTAACAGAAAACTCTGACCTGGCTTGGAAGTGGAGAGACCCTCAGATAACCTGCTCCCAGATCATTTGACATGCAGGCATAGGGCATATTAGCATAAAATACTAGGTAATTTTGTGCTTTCCTAGATGGATGCTCACCTATGTACAAACTTGTTCGGGAGTCTGGCAGAAACATTACAATATTATTTTGAAAACGATCAGCCACTAGAGACTATGAAGAGGGAAATAAGTTAATGTTAGATTTGGCCTAAAAACACTGCATCCTTGTGTATTTATTTTTTTTTAAATTCCTAAAATTAAGTTCAAAAAGAGGTCTTTGTTTTGTTTCGAAAGTTGATACCTTTGGGATCTTGAATGAACAATTCATTTGTGTCATCATTTTACAGATGTGTGACTAGTGAAAGAAGTTCTGTGAAAATGCAATGTATTAATAGGTTTGCATACCATAATTGAATGAAGATTTGGTCAGGGAAGGAAAGAAAGAGAGAGAGAGAGAGAGAGAGAGAGAGAGAGAGAGAGAGAGAGAGAGAGAGAGAGAGAGAGAGAGTGAGTGGTGGAATGATACCTTGTAAAGGTTATGCCTGGGAATTTGACTGGTGGCTGGATGCTTTAACGGCCCATGGCTCAACCATCACCCACTTTTAACACAAGATAGATAGTGGGCTGGAGACGTTGTATGAAAGGAGGGGCTGATCAGAGAAATGTTTAATTCCACTGACAACCATGTTTAAATAGCATGGATTTTTAAAACTGCAAAAGAAAATAATATAAAGGGAATATTTTTCTCAAAGTGAATAAAAAGGAAAAAGCTAAATGTAATTTTTTAAAAACCCTCCATAAGGATAGTTTTCCCTTTCGGGCAGTAAACTTCTTGAAGGCCACGTTAAGTTCAAACATTCCATGGTTCACGAAGCCCACTGAGGTAGCCCAAATTCTCAAAGCTGTGACACTTCGAACATAGCAGAATGCCCACTTTCCAAATTAAATAAGAGCAAATGGGATGAAATGTATGGGGAAGGGAGGAACAGGCACGTACATCGTACAGTACATTTTACAGATTTTTTCCTAATTTAAGCTCTGTTTCCAACAAAATATCTTACACTAGCAATCCTATGGCAAAGAATATTTTTCTTCTTGAATAAAAAGGTGTTTTCTTAAGCCTACAATTTATACTAAATTACATTTTTGCTGAAAAACCTAACAAAAGGTGGAAAAATCCAGTCCCAGGCCAGGTCTGTGCCCTTGAAGTCATGGTGGCCTCAGATTACATTGAAAAGAGGGTAACAGGAGTGCTGTCCAATCAAAGCACTTCTCTGTGGGCTAATGAACCAAGTTTAACAGATCCCTGTTCTCTGAATGGATGCCAAACTATTATAAAATCTCCAAACCAGCAGACCTTCAGGCTCTGGCTTTAGGTCCCAGGTCAGCTAAACCTTTTTTAATACTAGCATTTGGTTACATCTGGGCTACCAAGTTCACACTCTGAACTAGCCCTTTCGAAATACCCTCACACTCTGGATCCACCTTGTCAGTTTGTAAACAAAAATGCTGTCAAAATGCCTTGCAAAGCCTAGTTGGCAAAGCAGAAAAAAAGTCAGTAAGACATGGTTTGGATTTTTAGTATTAGTATCAGCATCATAAACTACTTTATTTTTTTAGTCCACTTCAATAGGGTGTCGGTAGGCATTTTATATTAGCTTTGAAAAAGAAAAAATAACATCTTTAATTTTGATAGCTGAAAATGATCGGGATAGAACACATACCCCAAAATATAATGAGGCCTTCTTGTATCTCAGTTATGGCTTTGGATCTATCACAAGGTTATGTTCCCTTGGACTCCGGAAGAGCGTTCCTCCTTCCCTTTGCTGTTCAGATTGGCTGGCGGCAGTCTGCCATTTTCATAGCTCTTAAGAAAGAGGCAACCTTAGGTTTCATCTACTGAGTTTCTGATTACCTTGTCATCTCCCTTACTTCAAGAAGCATTTCTTCTCCCAAAAGAAGGCCCAGAGTGGTAAGTTTCCATATCCCATGGAAGGAAAATTATTAATGTGATGCAGATCTGACTCTTTTTATCAGTCTAAATGTGACCGGAAAATTTCTCCTATTGGAACATTTTCTTCTCTGCCCACTCCAGTTTGAGTGATGCTGTATCTGTTACGTGCCCAGCTAAGGTTACAGAAACTCAGATGGAATTCAGAATGAAGTTCCAGCCACTCAAAACATGAATGTGGAAAAAAAGATTCACGTAAAATGGTCAGAAACAGAGATCTTTGGGCCCTGCCCAAGTCAGAAACAATGTTCAATCATCTTAACTGAGCAAAAAACTCCAGGAGTTTGGAGTTCTAAACTACCTCAAATCTCAGTGTCTTCATTTACTCCCAAGCCCATATCTTGGGAACCACGAAGGCAAAAGAAATACTAACCCATAATGATGTACCCCCATGCCTCCAAGTATCCGCTAAAATTTCTCCATTCTTGGCACTTAAGACATTGAAAATGTAACTATTTGGTACAACATGCTGGGCAGCTTTCCTTACACATGTCCTGCCACCATGAGACACTCATGGCTTCTATGCCTGTGGAAGACCAACTCCCATCAAAGGAAGTGATAGATTGGTTCTGTGAATTCTAACTGTTCAAAGCTCTCCAAGGATAGGGATCTGTTCCTGTTCACTTGGAGAGATGCATTCGCACTCATCTGGGAAGCACCCAGGAAGCCTGTCTATTCCAGACCTTCTTTTCTCACTGCCAAACACAAGGGTCTACACAAGCCTGTTCTGACTCTAATGTTGCTCTCTTGCTAGTGTCTACCTCCTGTCCCCATCACTACCACTACCATTTGAAAGTTTTAAAAGAGGAAACTTGGTTATGAAATGAACTTATTATTAATGTTATTAATAAATTAATACATAATGTTAAACATTCTGGGCTGGAAGGATCCCAGGGCTTCCTTAGGTAGATCCCACGAGAAAAGAGCAGCTTGCCCTTGATCCAGGAGGACCAGTGAATAGGAATTCAAAGCTTGATTTTGAGCTAGTCTTAACCTACGTTTACATGGCGGCCCTGAAGGAGGAGTAGCAAAGCAAAAATGAACTAATATCTCAATAGCCCTTAGCCCACCTCACAAATGGTGCCTTTCCCATTCCCTAAGGCAAGTCCTGCACTGCCACCCTCCCCATTTTAAATTTCTTCCCGGCAAAAGATGCTACTGCTGTTTCAAAAAAGTCATCTTCATAGGCCCTCAACCTGTTTCTTTTGCAATTATGTTCTGATCATAAAGCAGTCCTCATTTCAAAAGCAAGAGTCTTCTGGATGGAAAAAAATAATAATAATACACACGCATGCATTTGTGACATGATGTAGAACATTTAAAATAGTTTGGGGTGAAGGGTGAAAAAAAAACTTTATTTGGCCCACAGAGGGGATGGAGGAGTAAGGGGAGGGACTAAAAGAGAGGGAATGAAAATGGGTGGGAATAAACTAAAATGGAATGGATTAATGTGCAATACATTTGGTTACCTCCACCACAAGATTAGAGCAAGGTACATACAAAAGAGAACACGGGTGCATTGAATTGAGTTTTGCTTCTGAGTTGATTCTACATTGCAACAGTTCTAACGTTAGTAAATCACCAGTTATCTCTGTCCAAGTCAGACAAGGCTCTCTCCTCTCTCTCTGTTAGTGCAAACACCGTTTTCCATCCTGGGCTGCAGCCTGACCCGCCAGTGCTCAGAAGGCATGCTTGTGGTGAGCTCTCACACTCTCCCGTTCCCCACCTCCAAAGGCAGCTGGGGTCTCCAGCCTGCTTAGGCGCTCCAGGCTTCTTCCAAGAGCTTCCTCCAGCCGGCCGCGTAGCATCTGGGCTCCTTCCAACTCCACCTGCAGGGCCTGATCTTGCTCAGAGCTGGTTGGACATGCCACACAGAAAGGAAGAAGAATTAGAAAGTGGTTTGAAGGAGACCAAATAACTCCAAATGAAGCTGGAGTCATTAAGTGCTGTCCAGGACATCAGGAAAGCCCTGCTGCTGCTGCAGGCATCAGCGTGTACTGTTGGGCTTTTGTTAGGCCTATTTCAGCACCTACTCCTCCGATCACAAGTTTTAGCCCAAATTCACAGAAAAGGAGTTTCCTAGAATTCTCTGCTCATAATTCACCATAGCTCATATTGCCTTGAGAGAATTCCAATTTTCCACTGTATGTTCTCCTTCCATAACAAGCCATTATACTAAGGAGGAATCTTCTTATGTGGATTACTAAAACAAGTTGCAATCTGAAAGAAAACCATGACCAGAGAGGGTCTTTCTTTAATGACTTCTTTTTCCTACATGAGTTTTGAAATTTTGAGGTAACTAAGCCAAGTTCTGAGAAGGTTACTGACAGAAAGAAACTAAAGATTCAAAGATTTTCTTCCAAACACTGATAACAAAGGGTAACGTACTACTAAGAGAAAGACGTTTTCACATCATTTTTGGTCCACTTTCATTGTACAGTCTTTCTTCTCTTAAATATCCCTATCAGAATCTTTACTTCTAGCCAAAGAAAGTAGAAAAGGAAGAAAAAAACTAAAAGGAAATTAACTAGGAGTTCCTGAAAAATGAGAAGATAAAAACTGGAAAAGTGGTGTAATGCACAGAAAATAGGGGGGCAAACTAAAGCAGATTGACAAAACATAAAGAAGGAACCCTGTGGAGGCCCAGGAGCAAGCCCCCTCAGCAACAAGCTCAACGTGGGCTCAGCCACATGGCACTTTACTGTCTCACTGCAATAAACAGGGTCTCCGTGGGGCAGACCAGGAGACCACAGTAAGGAACCCTGGCACTCCTTCCTTCTTTGTCCACGTCCAGGCACACAGAGATGGAACTTGCCCTCTGTGCACATTCCCAAGAGAACAGTCTCAAGTCTTCTTACCCGCCCGGATGCGTGTGGAACTCCACCAGGCTGCTGTAGAGCCGTCTCTCTGCTTGGAGGGCTTCGTTGAGCCGGCCTCGCTCCTCCACCAGCCCCTCCATCACCTGCAGCAGCTGAGAGAAAAGCAAGGATAGAAGTGAAGGTCTCTCTTCTCGGGGGAGAGTCAGAATTTCAGTCAGAAGGGACCTCAAAGGTCATCTATTCCCCTTACTGACTGGGCAGGAATGTCTTTTCCTCAATGGGAAAAGTGGTTATGCAGCAGCATCCGTGAGAAAACATTCAGTCACACAGAACTCCTTAGTTCTCAGCCTTTGGACAGCTCTCAGTCTCAGGAAGGGCTACCTTATATTGAGCTATGGTTCGCCTCTTTATCATTGATTTCCACCGCTCCTGGTTCTGACCTCCGGGCCAAGCAGAGCTAAGGCCAATGCTTCTTCTGCACGTTAGCACTCTAAATACTTAAACACAGCTAGCATGTTCTCCGTGTCTTCTCTTCTCCAGACTTTCAAAATCTTTCATTCCATCAGGGAATCCTACATGATGTTTTCTGGTCCCTTTACCTCCCTACATCCTAGACACATATAACCTACATGTTGAGTAGGAAAGGTAATGTTTTCCCAAATACTCCAAACCTTAGAAAGAAAAAACCCATAAAAGAGAAAGTAGAAATTTTTTTTAAAAAATTCTTGTAGAAAATACAAGTTGGCAAAGATAATTATATCTCCCTACCTACTTAGCAGCAACACTTAGTAGTCTACAGGTAAAAATGAGGAAGTCTAGTAATAAAACATACTGTTATTCTCTCTTGGCCAATAAATTCAGGGCTCCCTAATCTCAGAATAAGATACCATAATTTCTATAAATCAAGGTAGAAAATAGATCAAAATCTCTTCACTGCTACCAAATGAAAACATCACAAGCTGATTATTTCCCAATTCATCGAGATCACATCTTTTCCTAAAGTGACATCAGAAGAGAAATCATTACCTGACGCCTGCGGTTTTCGGTTGTTTCCTGACCCTGGGATTCTGCTGAGGCTACTTTTTCCCGAAGGAGCAAGACTTCTTGGGTCAGGCGCTGGACAGCTGGGATGTCTTCAGGGTCCACAAGCTGCATCTGAAGATCCTGGTGACCAAAAAACTGTGTCAACTGGGGGAATGACAGAGTATGTCACCCTTGAAACAGTCCCCTCCCTGTCCACATGGAGATGCGAGGCTCCAAAGAACAGGAACCCCCTATTTAAAAGGAAAACTCAACAGACGCAATCCCTGGTAAGTACATCATTAGTAGAGCTCTAGATTAGGGTTGGTGTCAACATGACAGAAGTACCACCAATGGCATGGACTGGGGTTGCCCTAAGGACATTCAGGACTCTCATTGCCCTGGGCCCAACTCAAGAGCCTGCAGAGACCTTTATTAGGTCTTCCTTGATTTGCATGTTCCTGGTCAGGGACTCCATGTCAGCAGCTTGAACCTGCAGCTCTTCTGCCTGCACAGCGACCATGGATTGGAGAGCAGAGAGTTCCATCTGGTAAGAGAGAACATGCTGGTGTTACGGGCGTAGTGGCCAGAGTCTGTGGGGAGGCCACACAATATCACAACAGAAGACTAAGGTCAGCGTCTTCCCCCAGACCACTTCCCTTTCATCTCCTGTCACATCATCAGTTAATGACGCACTCTGGACATTTGGGGCACACCACATCAGCTGTCCTCTGTAGCGTCACCCTCAAATGATTTCGTTTGCTGGTCTTCAACCACACTCAGCAAATACAGCAGCCAGATGTTAAAACATCTTTGATTACAACAATGTAATGATGAATGACATCAACATTCTCTAAATACTTCACATCCACACAGACATGAGGCCACATTATTTGTTGGCAAATACTTTTATCAAACTCCAAAAAGGGGATAAAAATGAGAAGAACAGGTATAGGCTGAAGGCTTAAAAGCTAACTGGGCACTAGTTCAACTTCGACGAAAAGCTAAAACATTCCATAAAGTCAGGTTCTTTACTAGGGAAACAAGCTCTTAAGAAATTAAAAAATATACCAAGTAATAAACAACCAAAATTTGCCTTACATAGCTTCTGTTGCATCATGCACTATTTATTTTATATAGTAATTTATGGTTTGTGGAATTGGTAGAACAAAATGAACAACAGACCCTAGCAGTTTCCTGTTGCCTCAACGAAGCAGCTGGAGGTGGAAGGGACCTTGGTGTAATTCTAGGGCCAAATGCCTCACTTTACAGATGAGGAAACTGAGGCTCGGGAAGGAGAAAAGATGTAGCTCCTAAGAACAGCAGAAGCCCCATCTCTAGACTCTATGATTTCAGCACCTAATGTGCCACGTGAGGAAGAAGAAACTTAATGACTTTCTCACCTCCACAAAATCTATAAGAGCAGTCTATCCAGATAATAATGTTTATCTCTGATGAAAACACAAGAAAGAGGAAGGCCTCTGCAAGTGATTTTCTATAGGAAAGCATGTGTTAAATCATCAGATTCTGCCGTGTTAGTGCATTTGATTTGGTGGGGCAAAAAAAATCTCCAAGACTCTCCTTAACCACGTGTCTCAAACATACGTTAAGGTTATTCGAGATTCTCTGGTAGATCCAGGCATGGGGATAATTTTGTTTGACTATTGCCACAGCCAAGCCAAGAGACACGGGTTCACTAAAGATATTTGCCAACATCACAAAGAATGTCCTCAGCAAAGACCAGACATAGCAGTGACTCCCCAGAAATGGTGCTGCTTTGCTCCTGTTTGCAGTCAGCACAACATCACCCACATCAAGCTGTGGAACTGAGGGTGCCCTCAGTATTCACCGCAGACAATCACTCTCTCACTCACACAAACACACACACACACACACACACACACACACACACACACACACACACACAGTTTAGCCCAGCAATTCACCCAGGAAAAATCAAGTGGATGAAAAATGCATACTGCCCAGATTATCACATAATTTACATGTGTAGCTCATTGACTTAGACTAACACTGTGTACAGTTTGTGTATAGTTCACACAGATGTAGGTAGATGATGTAGCTAAGTTGGGCCCAGAACAGAAGAGAAAATGTGAGCTGGATAGCATTTTAAAATTATGTAGGGCTTTAAATGATCCCCAGATCTTCCCAGCCACAGAAACACATCGTTGATAAAATATTCTTCTAATGATATTAAATTATTGCTAATCATAAAAACTATAACCTCAAGAGAATCAGAATTATTGGTGACTCAATGGGCAATAGAAAGCTATATGTGGTGGGTGAAAGAGGGTGCCACAAATGACTAACGATAGCACATGTACAAGATGTGACAAAGTACATCAGAGACTGGGGATCAGAAAAGGAGGCAGGTCGAGGTAACACAGCAGAAGAGAGAAATGCAAATGACAGACTGTTGCACTGAAACAGTAGCAGAACTCTAACTTGCCTCCGGCCTGTTGGATACTCTGTGGAGCAGATGTGGGAGACATGGACAGACTGTAACCTCTGTAAGACCCTGACCTTCCTCCCCATTCCGATCTATCCTCAGCTCAGCTCGGCCCCCAAAGAGAGCTCCTAAAGCACAGGTCTGCCCGGGTCTCCTCCGCATTCCAGCGCCTCTTTGGATCAAACACAAACTCTTCAGTTTATAGCTCATCACACCCTGGACCCCAACTATCCTTTTGGTCTTTTTCACGACTCCCCTCCCTGCATCCTCTTATCTGGAAGAGCTGGCTTACGTGCTGGTCCTCACACATCACCCTCTCATTTTTCTGCTAAACTTCAGCCACCTCTGTCTGAATGTTCTAAGAGTGTCTCAAATGACACAATCCACATAGAACCGTGATCTTTCCCCCTATGCCAGTATCTGTCAAAACCTCCCTATTCTGTTGAGGCAGATACTAACGTGGTAACCTGGCAACTATCTCTGACGCTCTCTTCTTCTTCATCCTCACCCAGCTGCCGAGTCACGCTGACTCCAAACCTCCTGCATTTGTCCTCTTCACTCCACTCACAGCCCAGTTCAGAGTCTCAGCAGAGTCTTGCCTGGGCCATCTCAAGTCTCTTCATTGGTCTCCCTGCCTAAAAGCTCTCTCCTCTCCAACCCAACCTCTCCCCAGCTGCCAAAATAATATTCTTTAAGACAGAGGTTCAACCAAGTCAATGCTGCTCAGAAATGTTCAGCAGCTTCCCACTGCCCACCTACCTAACGTGCAAACTCCTCCAACTGGCATCCAGATTCTTTCACAATATGGCCCCAGTCCACCTTTGCCTCATTCCCCTTCCTAAAGTGTGGGTTGCAGCCGAACTTGCTTACTCCTCATTCTCTACATCTCAACATGCCACCTCTAGTTTCTGTCCCTTGGTACAGGCTGCCTCCCATACCCAGAATATACCCACTCCTCCCCCTGCTTTTCAAATCCTGAGCTTCCTTCGAGGCTTAGCTCAGGTTGCTGCTGGCAGCTGCTTTTCTTGACCCCTGACTGTTAGCGCTCTCTCCCTCCCCTCAAATTATTTGCCATTTCCTTCTTTCTTTATGTGTGATGTCTCCCCGTAAAAGCAGCAGCATAAGGGCATTCAGTGGTCTGGGGTTTTGTCTTTGTATCCCTGGCACTGGCAGAGTGTGTTTCCCCTTGTAGAACTTAGTGTCTGCTGAGTTGCTGAAATGGAAGTGTGAAGTAGTAAGGAGAAGTGTCTGTCCCAAGAAAACAGATCCAAAATAATTTAATTTCTAATGCTCCACATTTCCAATTTTTAAATTCTACTGCATTAACATCATAACTGATGAACAACTGCAAAGTCCCTCATTTCTGCAAGTGATTTTTTTTACTTTACAATGATTTATATTTGAAACAATTAGCATGAGCAATTTTAATGATTCCAACTGTGTAAAAAGAAATGGCTCCTGATGGCGTTGGTAACACAGTTGGCCTTTCTTCCCTAAAAAGGACCTTTTCTCTAACTCCGAACACTGCGACTGAAGGGGCCGATGTTCCAGAACAGGTCTAAACACCTTGGGAATGAAGCCTGTGCCGAGGACTCACCCGCCCTTCTCTTTCTTTTCTTGTTAGGAGTTCAAGTTCCTCTTTGGCATGAATCAGTTCCTTTTCCAGCTCTACAGAGGCCTCCGTGTTTCCTATAAATAAACACAGAATGCTCACAGAGGTTTAATCGTTACTGAAACCTGTCATAGTACAACTGACCCTTGCTGCTTACTCCTGGGTTTAGCAGCCTATAATAACCACCAATCTCTAATAGTCCACGCACCCATCTTGCAAATAAGTAATACAGAGACAGCAGTTTACAATTTTTTTTCTAGGACTCTAGAGGTAGACAGGTAACAAAACCCAGTATGGTTTATAATTCATTTTATGATTGATGACTTGTATAACAATCATAAAACATTACATATCAGCAAGATACTATAAACTGTCAAAAAACAAAATTTTGGCCTCCTCAATAATGTGAAACCATGCCCTGTTATGCCAAACCCGTAACCTGCCTTGTCACTATACTATATCACACGACAGGGCAATTTTCTGGTTCTGGAACTTACTGGGCTTCATCCTTGAAAAGTGGCTTCGTATTTACAACTTTTCTCTCTATAAAAAAAGTGCCCGGCCTATAGGATATACTGAACATCCAATAAAAATCTCTGCTCTCTCTTTGCACAGGATCAAAGCTGTCCCCAGCAGGCTTTGAGACTTAGAGGCTTGATACCTTGGGGGTACAGCCTGAAACAAGTGACTTGCTCTCCAGCTCTCTCTTCCTCATAAATTTAAATACAGGAGAAATAAAGTTAAAATGATTATCAAATACTGTCTTGAAAGTAAGTCACAAAACAGAAGACTCAGGAGGCGTGAGAAGCAGTCTGGCCTCTTTCCCCGCTGTGAGCTGCTTCCCTGAATCACAGCCTGGATCTCCCCGGGCAGGAAGGCTGTTCCAAAGGCAGTAGCCCTCCTGGGATTATTGCCCCTGAGGCTGGTTCTGCACAGAACACCCCACTTGAGGTTGTTCCCCTCTCCCATCCAGCATCATTCTTACCATTTGGGTGACTGAAGAAGTGAACGGCCTTGCCAGACGTGCTAACATAGTTCTAGGAAAGATGTTATGATAGGTGTGATACTTGCCTGACTGAGGCCTGGATGCGCTGGCATTGCCTTTAGCAGTCACTAAAGTAAGTTCATCTTTGACATTTCCTTGCATTGATTCCTAAATTAAGGAAAGGGAATTTGGGGAACATTTAGTATCTATGAAATCCTCCATATGAAAGGGTATTAGCAGGAAAAATCTAAGGTCTAAACCTTGAAAAGCCATAAGCACTTGTCATAATCTAAGATCAGAGTACCATTATCCTTGAGAGCACGATTCAGGAATAAACGGGACCCAATGAAAAACTGAAATGTCATCCTCATGGCATGCAGCATCACGAGTCTTACCTGGATAGGTCGCTCCTCATGATGGCAGCCAATGAATGTGGCAGCTTCAGCTGGCTGGTCTGTGCTGAACCCCTGTGACATAACAACATGATAGACCTCAGGGTCCCATCATGCTTTGGGCTGGCAAAGCGCTCTACATACATCATCCCATTTGATCCCGCAATAAACAACCCTGTGTGGAGGGAACATTACCAGGTTCTTCCCTCTGATGTGCTGGCGCAAGGTCTGCACCTCGGCGCTCCTTTCCATCAAGGCTTGTGCCATCTTCCCCAAAGCAAGCTGACAAAGGAAATAAACAACAAGGGACGATTAGAAAGAGAATCCAGACATGGAGATTGGAATCGTGTCTCACTGGTTCTATGGCAAGCTGACGAGGCCTTGAGGGACCCCTGCTTGGAAGGATGAACTTGTCCAACAGGCTGGGAATGCTTATCTCAGTTTAAAAAGGGAAGCTAAGGGGGGCCCTTCCTTGCCATTGGAACCTGGGCAAGCTGAAAATACAAGCGTTGGAGAAAAGAGTACAGAGACGCCTCCTTCCTGTTAGAACTATTTGTTTCCTGTTGAGATGATTGTCACTCTCCTTACAGTTAAGCTGACACAGGTTTCCTTGTTCTAGGGCTGTCCAGATGAAATCAACCATCAGACCAAACGATCAGGAGAACCCAACAAGCACAAGACGACCGAGGCCAGGGGCGTTCTCACTGCTTCAGGTCACCATGGCTGCTAATGGTGCAAAGGCGAAAGCCTGAGCTCCGCTTCTGGTCTGAGTGAACCCCAGACGTGGTTTTTACTTTCTAGCAGCATCAAGAAGAAATTAAATTATAATGATCAACACCCTGGAGAAGAAATGAGAAAAAGGCCTCTCTCTCTTCCTTGCAAAGGTGGAGGACAAGGGGTGTGGAACAGCACATACGCTCTCACACTTGGCTGATCTATTGGTTAGTTTTGTTGGGGGGTTTTTTCCTTTTTTAAAAAAATTAACGGTTCACAATGGAGGGGTCAGGGAAAGGAATATATCTGGCAAAGAGGGAAACGTCAAAATAAATAAGAAATAACTTTTTAAACTATAACTAGAATTACTCAATTTGTAAGCTAACAGAAAGTCAACAGGCTGCACTCAATGTTTCAGTCCTAGGTTATAGCAGGCAGTCTCTGTGGGACTCTTCTTTTCTTTTCTTGTTCTGATAGGAACCTGAGATCATCTGAGGGACTCTAAGAGAGGGGAGGAGGCATGTCACCCTAACACTGGAGGCTGATGTTTGGGTTATTTGGGGATCTGGATAATCACTGTTGGCATACGATTATAACCTTCCTGTGTCTCAATACGATCTCTAGAGAAACTTTCAATTGCTTCCTTTGCTTTCATCATCTCAAAATGAAGAATCTCAATTCTTTTATTTTATGATCACATAGAAATTATTAACGCCTCTCTAGGGAAGAAAACACCGTTTGTCAGGGTAAAATAAATGAGTAGGTAGGTATACAAATGTCCTATAACCACGTTGAGCTATTTCCTATTTGAAGATAATGGAGTTCTCCACGACTGAGGGAATGTCTTTTGAACCTGGACCAGTCCTCACCTGGCTCTCCCTCTTCCTGGCGCTCACAGACTGGAGCAGGTCCTGAATCTCCATCTCGTGCTCCAGAGCCTGCTTATTTCGGTCACTCAGAAGTTCCTGCAGCAGCCTTTCTTTCCGCTGCAGGCGTAGACACAACTCTTCGGCAACTTCACTCTGCCCTGGTCCTAGCTTGCAAAGCAATGTTGCACTAAGATCCTGAAGGGAAAGACAGAGAAGATATTTTGAAAAGGAGAGGGAGTGGCGGTGTCTTCCTTCATCTATGCCACCCTACGGCTGTTGACTACAAAGGTCTGTCAATCTCTGGCCTGTGGGAGAGATTCAGAAATCACTGGCCGCTTGAATTAGGAAGATTATACATTGAATTATACAACAAGAATGTTTAGAATGACAATTCACAGATCAGTCTGGGAAATAGTGATTGCTTGCTAAGGGCTAACAATGACTTACTTGGAGTTAGTAGAAAATAATAATTTTTTTGCTCCAGAGCCTCCAAGAGAGAGCAAAAGTTGTTTTAAAGAAAGAAAAAAGGGTATGGTACAGTATGCCCAACCAATAACCTGATACGTGTGTGTATGTTTCTTTTCTCTAGCAGCAACATGCAAAATAGAGATCTCATCAGTTCTCATGTTGCTCCTGTAAAGTAGGTAACTATTCCCCCCCCCCCATTCCAGAGAGAAGGAAGGAAGGCGGGCACAATAACATGTTCAGTCATTCAGCAACACAGGGAGAAACCAAAAAACGGTGCACACACTGCCAGACCTCACAGGATGTCCTAACAGCCCCTGGCAGGAACCAAGCCTTGCCTCCACTTCCTTGTTCCTGTCATGCAGAGACGTCTGCAGCTGCTGGACGATGCCCTCGTGCTCCTGCTGCCAGCGGCCGAATTTCTGCTTCACTTCTTCTTCCAACCACTGGAGGTTCCGGCAGGTGACCGAAAGCTGCTCCAGCTCCAAGCTTTTAGCCTGCAGGAGACTTTCCATGCTCTGCGCCCACAAAGAGAGGAATGAAAGCTGGGGGGTTAAGGAGCCATTCTCAACAACACAAACAAAAATGTAGCTTAGGTTTCTTCTTTATGTACTGTAAGCAAAGCTCAACTTGTCCTGTGGAGGGTGGGTTCAACTTTTCATACCACTTCTCAAGGGGAAAATTCAGCATCTAACCCAGCAATGCCACATGACCTCATGTTGTTAGAAATTCTCAACCCTGGGGCAGCGAGGTGGCACAGTGCACCAAGCTTCAGCCTTGCAGGCAGGAGGATCTGAGTTTAAATCTGGCCTCGAGCACTTGATACTTACTAGCTGTGTGACCCTGGGCAAGTCATTTAACCCCGATTGCCTCACCAAAAACAAACAAACAAACAAACAAACAAAAAAGAAATTCTCAACCCTGATGACTAAGATTCTGAAAACATAAATTGTAGGTATTGTGGGGCCAGGGTTTTAGAAGGAAAGTGGACTGGAACTTGAAAGGATGGCGAGTCTTTTAAGAAGCAGTTGAAAGATTAAAAGCCTCAAATACCAATTTAGGTCAGTCTGGGAGAAAGAGCCCACTAAAGACCGGCAGATTACGAACACCTCACATATCACAACATGCCATCAGAAGAGCATGGTGTCTGCTCCTCCCAGAAGAAAACAAGGGACTACTGCCTTGTTCTTCATCTGTATGGGAAACTGATAAGGCTAGTGCTTTGATTCTGAAAAGTGGAGGCAAGGAACAGGACTTCATTCTAGCAGGAGGGAAACACATTAGGAAGCGACTGGGCGTGGTACCCACCTGAATGGTGGCTTCATTGGAAGACAGGACACAGCGGAGTCTCTCTAAATCATGATCTCGCTCTCTCACAGCAAGATGAAGTTGATGTAGTTCTTTTTCCTTTTCTTCTAAGGCACAAAACTTCTCATCAATGGCCCGCTGCCAGGAAATGGTAGGGAAGAGTATTAGCATTTGTTAAGTCCTATTATGTGCCAAGTACTGTGTTAAGTGTTTTACAAATTTTATTTAATTTAATAATGATGTAAAAGTGGGAGGTTTTAGGAAAAAATCCTGGGCCTCCATAAGAATAGGTGCCCAAATGGCCACATGTTCCAGGACAATTTAAAGTGAGGAACAGAGAACATTCTTTTTCTTTTTTCTTCATGTAAAACACATTTCCACATTAGTCATGTTGTAAAAGAAGAAACAGAACAAAAGGGAAAAAATAAGAAAAAAAAGTGAAAATAATATCAGTTCTTTCAACAGAGAACATTCTTAATTCTACATCTCCCAATGTAAAGCCCTTATACACAATAGATAGGAAGTTCATTATCATGGCCTTTCTCGTAAGTGGAGCAGAATTATATTTGATTTACCTCTAAAGCAACATCTCTGTCTTGGATGCGATGTCGAAGTTTCTCAAGCATCATTTCATTTGCCTCAAGGCTTTTCTCTGAGTTGTTCTGATATTGCATGAGTTCTCGGTATTCCTAGTGAGACCCAGAAAGAATTTCCCATAGTTATACAATGTCAAAGATAGCACAGTGATTGAGGTTACACAGCAAATCTTCAGCCTTTGCAAGGAGGTGCATTTCAAAGTGGCTTGTCTTTCCTTCTCCCTATTCCTTAGCAATAAAGCCACCAAATCTCTCTGAGGCCCAGAAGCCTAAGGAAGCCGACCTGCTGACAGAAGGATGGGATCACAAAGGCCGGAGCTGTTAAGCCCTCTTACACCTAACTTGGGCCCCACAAGGCCGGAGGGGGTAAACCCAAGAGTGGAACAGAAAGATAATAAGCAGGCATGACGAAAGTGGGATGGCCCTGCATGGTCAGAACCTCCTCTACGGAAGCCAAAAGGAGCACACCCAGGTCCATTTCTCATACTCCTGAACCACCAGTTTGTTTGAGCAGGTCCTGCTGAGCTCCCTGTAGTCCAGAAGAGCTCCTGGGGCCTCTGCTTCCCATGAACCTGAAGTATAAAGTTCCTCGTGTTGCATGGCTTGGGGGATTCTATTCTCAAGGGTGATTTCCACTCTACCCATATTTACCTGGGACTCCCCAATATGGAAACTGAATTTTTTTTTTTATAAAGCCTAGGTAATTTCACTGCTTCAACCTAAGGATACAGATGTGTTACGGAATTTTCCTTTAACTGTTCAATTCCTATAATTATTATATGTATTTGGGAGATGCACTGGGGCATAGTGGCTACAGGGCCGGCCTCTCCCTCAGGTAGACCTGGGTTCTAGTCCTGGCTCTGATGCATCCTGGTCACGTGATCCTGGGCAAGTTACAGAGACTCCCAATGACTGAGGCAACTGCCTACGGTGAGTGTCTGGGTCAAGCTACTCCCTCTCTGTCCCGGGAGAGCTCCCTACAGTTCATTGTCAAGGTAATCATAGATCTGGTGACCAATACTGAGGGCTGTGTAAGTCTTCCTAAGAATTCTCCAGGCCTGTATTCTTGGGTTTCTGCAGACACCTGGGAATCTCAAGGGTGGGACCCACACCTTCTGTTTCACAGATATTATCCCCCCAGGGCCCAATTCAGAGTTCTGGATACAACAAGAACTCTGATCTGGTTGACAATTATCTGTAATCTGAAGTCACCTCGATCAGTAAAAGGAATTTGCAAGTCTCCCACCCAAGGGAACGCCCATTGCACCAGCCCACCTGCAGAAGCTGGTCTTTCTGACGCAGGCTGTAGTTCAGACGCTGAATGCTCTGCTCTTGGGCTTGAGTCTCACGGCACCTCGTGCCCTCCAGCATCTGAAGCTGCTGGTTCTTACTGCGCAAATCTTCCTGGAGTTGCTGCAGGGTACTTCGCAATTCCTGAAATAAAACACACAACCTTTATCAGCAAAATCTTCTGCCTTCACTTCCCTAGTGCAGGTTGGCTGCTTAAAAGGGTAAGCATTCTTTTTTGTTCTTTTTGAAATATTTATCGCCCCATTTTTACATTCATTTTTATAAGATTTTGAGTTCCAAATTTTTCTCCCGTCCTCCCTCCCCTCCCTCCTCTCTCTCTTCCCTAAGACAGCAAGCAATTTGATAAAGGTTATACATTCACAATCATGTTAAACATATTTCCAATTAGTCATGTTGTGAAAGAAGAATCAGAATAAAAGGGGAAAACCACAAGAAAGAAAAAAACAAAAAAAGTAAAAATAGTATGCTTCGATCTGCATTCAGACTTCATAGTTCTTTCTCTGGATGTGGATAGCATTTTCCATCATGAATAAAAGTGTAAGCTTTCAAATGAATAAACACCTATTAAATGTCTTGTATGTGCAGGGCAGTATACTAAGCACCAAAGGAGATGCAAAGGTAATAATAGCATTAGTATTTATTTAGCACCTACTACGTGCATTTAATCCTAACAACCCTGGAGGGAGGGGCTATTATTATTCCCATTTTACAGATGAGGAAATTGAGGTAGACAGAGGTCAAGTGATGGACTCATGGTCCCACAGCTATAAGTGTCTGAGGCTAGATTTGGACTCTGGTCTTCCCGACCCCAAGCCTAACCCTCTATCCACTGCATCACCTACCCCCAAAGAGCTTACAATCAATTAGATGACACAAGATGTACACAAATGACTTTAAATCAAAGCAGTACTATAATGCAAAATGACAGCTGCATAATAAAGATACAGAATATCATGGGAGTTGAGAAGAGGAAGCTGGAAAAAAGGGAGGGAAAGGAAGAGACTGCTTCCAGGGGGAAGTGGCCTTTGAGCTCGTCCCCAAAGGATGGACAGGCTGTCAATAGACAAATATCGGGCAAAACAGCATTCTAGATCTGGCCTCAGACCAGACATGTAACACTCAACAGCTGTGTGACTTTGGGCAAGTCACTTAACCCCAACTGCCTCACAAAAACAAACAAACAAACAAACAAAAAAACCCAGCACTCTAGGCACAGAGGACAGTATGAGGAAGGCACAGAGGTGGGGAAGCACAGGCCATTTAACTTGGCTCAAGTGTAGCCTATAGGAAGAAGATGGCTTTCCTGGCATAAACCCCACTGGATGGAAGCAGCTAAGCAGAGAGCAGGAAGCACCCATCTTGAAACAACGCCAGCAGAAATGATGATATGATGGTGCTAATGATGTCTGAGGTAACAGGGATCTATCTCTTCATTAAGATTCGCTCCTCAGGCAAGGAGGAGGGAAGAAGCGAACCATGCCAGCAAGCTCAAAAACTTATGTTTAGCAACAAAACGTCTCTGTCACCAGTCAAAGCACCTGGTTTTCATGCTCAGAAGCCTGGGGATATTTGGCTACTTTCACTGCCTACTCTCCTAGAGAGCTGCTAAAGACTGTAACTCATTTTTCCTTAGGTCAGACCATCTAAAACTTTAAACAATATTCTCACATAGACTGTTGAAGGATAAAAGCTTTGGTAAGACAGAGTAAGACACCTGATGAAACCTGGTCAAGAAAACAATTTCTTTAAGGAACTAAGGAAAAAGTAAGAAGTCTCCCCAACTCCAAACTCTGGCTTTAACAGACTCTTCAGAGTTGACATTTCTCAATGTCTGGTGACCTCCTTCAGGGCTCAAATAAGTATTTTCCAGACTTAAAGCACAACAGAAATCTTCAAAATGTTCCACCTTCAAAACTTAATTTGGATTAAGATCCTCAAGGAAACAGCTGCAGGCTAGAAGGTGCATTTTGATTTCAAATTAAAATGGGCAGCAGATTCTTAGAGGAGCAGCATGCCAAAGACCCTTTCCAAGCAAGAAGTCCGTCATCTGGTTGGTTCTAGTTACGGAATGTCAAATAAGGGCTTTGCTGAATTACTGAGATAAGGCCAATGGGTCAAAGGTGCTTCTAAAGCATAAGTAAAGCAAACCCTGATGCTAAGAAGTGGAGGTTGAGGGTAAAGTCAATTCCTGCTGCCCCAGATGGATTAATGATTTACCTGATTGTGGGTCTGTGCCGCTTCCGTCTGCTGTTCCAGCCCCTGAGCTGCAGCCTCCATGAATTGAAGGTTCCGCTTGGCATCCTCCAGGAGCCGTTCCTTCCGTCGGGTTGCCCTCTGAAACTTCTGTACCTCCAGCTGGCTGCAGAATAAGGCATTCTGGAGCTCAAGCAGGGCCAGCTGCTGCTGGGCTGGGGACCCGCCTTCTGGGGGCTGAGAAGAGGAAGGAAAGTGTCCAACAATGGGGGCTGAGCCCACAGCTGAGTATAAAACCAAGAAAACGAAAGTGGGGCTGCTAAGCCCTGGACAGCGCCCACTTACCTGCAGTTGTCCGAGCTGGCTTCGGTGCAGCATGTCCCGCAGCTTGGTCATTGTGTCGTTCTGACCTTCGATCACTTGGTATAGCTCTTCAGTCTGAAAGATTATAGAGGAGCAGGCTAAACACGAAGCTCACTGCCTCCCTGACCACAGGTGAACAGTGAACAAATCTATGTCATGCTATCAAAAAAAAATCAGTTTCTACCATCATAGAAGGAAAATATTTTCCTACTTCGATGGAACTGATGAATAGTAAATACCTATGTCACACAGAACTATGGTAAATGTTGAAGGATAAAAGCTTTGGTAAGACAGAAAGCCTGTCCTCATAGAGCTTATAGCCTAGTAAAGGAAATGGCAAATAAACAGTCAGTTACTCAGTCAACTGGCATTTATTAAGTACCTACTGTATGCCAAACACTTCACTAAGGGCTAAATGCCCAAGCCTGCTCTCAGGGAGCCCACAGGCCACTATGGGGAGACAAATGCGAAAGACGATGTACAAACAAGCTATGGACAGGATAAATTGGAAATAATCAACAGAGGGAAAAGACCTAAATTAAGGAGGATTGAGACAGACTTCTACATCTTCCCTGTAAAAGATGGGGTTTTGGCTGGGATTTGAAGAAAGCCAGGGAAGCCCAGAGGAAAAGATGAAGAGGGATGTTATTCCAGGTATGGAGAAAATAGCTCAAGTCTGGAAATGGAGCTTCTTATGTAAGAAACAGCCAGGAGCCCAGTGTCGGTGGATCAAAAAGTACGTGTTGGGAAGTAATACGTAAGAAGACTGGAAAGGTAGGAAGGAGCCAGGTTATGAAGGCCTTCAGAAGCCAAACCGAGCCATACACAGATATCAACAGTACAGAATATCAGATGAGCCTATCAGAGATGCATGATGTGAGGTCTGGGAGTAAGAACGGGAGGGAGTTGTTATTAATTAGGGTGGCTCAAGGAAGACCTGGTGAATGTGGCATTCAGTTGAGTTTTCAATGACAGGAAGGAATTCCAGAGGCAAAGGGGGAGTAAGGAGAGGACGGTGTGAGTAAAAAGCAGAGTACTTGGTGGGTGACAGAATGAGAAAAGGCTGGTTAGGGAGGCTAGTCCCACACTGCAGAATGGCGATTCTGGAACAGCAGCCTGAGCTGTATTCTGTAATGAGCCCCTGAAAAAACACAACCAGATCGATGCCGAAGGAAGTGCTGACCATTCCTCAGGGAACATCTTACCTCACTCTCCCTGTTCTTCAAGGACTGACTGAGGTTCTGAATTGTACAATCCTGCCTCTGTGATGCTTCCTGGGCAGATTTTAGTTCACAGCTCATTTCATTCAGTTTCTCTTGTAGAATCTATACTTGGCAAAGAAGACAGGTTTGATGATCAGGACAAGTCTTTCCATGCCATCTGCCACAAAATCCCTCCTCCCAAATCCCTGGCTGCCACTGAGACTCTAGGAAACACAAACCAGGGCCTAGCCCCCTGTTACTTCTCTATGGATAGCACTCATTAAACCCTTAAGTGAATCAGCAGAAGCAAACGAGAGAAATGGGAGGGTACCTCCCTTCTCTAAAAGGTGGTGAAGAACCCCCCAAGTTTCAGGTTCAATGTTAGTCCTAAGCATACACCTTAATTGTGGACGAACTATAATTCTCATGAGAAATACAGATGAAAACAAAATAATTAGGTCAAGGGAAGCATTCCCTAGAAGAAAAGCTGAACACTATTGGGGGAGATTTTGTGGGAATGCTTGGTAGACCCTGACAAGCATACTTGGGCTTCACAGGTAGCAAACTTTTATTGGCCTTCTGTGACTGACAACCCGAGCTTGCCACAGAGGAAGCCATACCTTGTTGGCAGCTTCTGTTTGCTCAACTTTGTCTTGAAGTTCTGCCAAGTGAGAATCAGGCACACACGGCTGGGTCATGGTGGCCTCATCTGAATTCAGCTCCGGTGGTTGGAGTGGCTCTTCAGCAATATTCTAAAAGAAATGAAACAAGAGCAGTCAATCAAATGCTTAACAAGTGATCTTGACTTTCATTTTTTTAAATTAATTTATTTTGATTTTTCAACAATCACTTCCATAAGCTTTTGAGTTTTAAATTTTTCTCCCCCTGCTTTCCCACCTCCCTCCCCCAGACAGCGCACAATCTGATATAGGCTATATACATACATTCCTATTAAACATATTTTCACATTAGTGATGTTGTAAGTAAGAATTAGAACCAACAGGAAGAACCACCAGAAAGAGGAAACAAAACACAACAGAAGAAAAAAAACAGCAAATAGTATGTTTCGATCTGCATTCAAACTCCATAGTTCTTTCTTTGGATGTAGACAGCATTTTCCAACATAAGGCCTTTGGAGATGTCTTAGATCCTTGTATTGCTGAGAAGGGTTAAGGCTATCAATATTAGTCATCACACAATGTGGCTGTTACTGTTGACTTTCATTTTTCACAAGATACGAGGATCCCTTGCTTGAATAAAAACGGTTCCCTCTCTTCAGTGACACTAATTTGATATTATATTAAATAAAATAGCCTGGTCTGGGGTTTGGAAAAATGGCATTTTTTTAAAAGAAAAGATTTTATGGTGATGGCTAAAAACTAGCCTGTTTCCTTATAGCTGATGAATTCGAAAGTCATTTATGAACAATTCTCGCTCAGAACACTGTCTGGAGCTAGAACAAGGTATTACTATTACCTTCTACCAAGTATATTACTTAAAATGTGCAACTTGAGAGATAAATTTATATTATATGGCCTAAAAAGATAATCAAAGACTACAGGAAGTCTGAAATGTCATGTATTGTGAAGGTCAAAGATAGGGAAAATACAGGAATGCCAAAATACTAATTATCTTATTTATGTTCAAAGGGGTTAAGATATAAATCTTATATGTTTATAATCAATATAATTATATTATGTATAATATATAATCAATATAAAGATTGATTAAAGTTCTCAAAATTCTGGAAAACCTAGAGAAGGGCAAGTCATTCATACTGTTATTCATATGACAGATGATTTAATGGGCATAGAAATCAGAAAACCACAGGAATTAGACATGGAAGTCTGGGGGTTTAATGGGTAATATATTATCAAAAAAAAATCAAGTGATATGCAAATCCAACAATAAGTTAAAAGTACCAGAGTGATCTAAATCCTTTCCTAAAAGGAATTAATGAGCAACTACTTAAATTCTTGATTGAGACCTATGCATCTTTACAGTGCTAATTTGGCTAATGGAGACCCAATAAATATTAGCTGATAGGCATCTTCCAAAGTATCTCATGGACTATCAGCATTCATCCTTCGATATACTAAGTCCGTATTCTGACCTTAAAGGCAACACAAAAACACACTGGGAGAGAAAATCAGAACTAGGGTTCTGAAGTGCCTAATAAGAAATCCACGTTCAATTGTCATCTCTAGGTGGCTCAAAATCTCCTAACTCTGGAAATCAAGCAAAGACCAAGGAATATCACTTTCATTTGCAAATGAGGAAGAGAGAGACAAAAGAGATGGTGACAAGTAACCTGATAAGTTCATGGTAAACTTGGGAATATAAACCCTACCGCCAAATTTCCAGTTTTATCCAGGAACAATTCAAAAAAACCTCTATGTAGACAAATGAGAGTAAACATACTAGTCTTCCCTTAATCTGCTTCAAAACTTTTCTTCTATGTGGCCAGAAAAAAAAGATGTGAAGAGCACTGGTGGGTGTGTAAATAAGAATTTCAACCACAAGCCCACCCTTTGAGAACTTTGGGCTGTGGAAGAAGGACCAAATGCACTTGTTTGATTATTTACAGTAATTATAAACTAACAAGAATAGATTGTAACAATATACATTAAGGAATCACTCGTCTACTGAATTTAACTATTAAAGCTGATTTTGCAAGCTGCTCTGCCACGCAGTTCTCTCCAAAAGACAAGCTTGTGGCTTACAATTCATATTATCCTCAGGATAGAAATGGACTAATTTCAAAAGTCAAGGAATTTCTATTGAAATCTACATATTAAACCCAGCTTATCTGTCCATGAGAATGGACAATTATGCTGAAATAATTCCTCGTTTCTAAAGATCCAGAAACTGGATGTTTTGCCTTTATTTTTAATCCTAAATTAGGTTGGGACATGTAATAGCCTCAGAATCAGGGAGATCTGACTGGGTTTGAGCCCCATCTCTGTCAGACCCTGGTAAAAGTCACTTTAACTTCTCCTCAGTGCCTCTAGCAGCTCCCAAGGTCTAAGCTGCAGAACGGGTGACAGTCTACATCAGCAGTGAGATTTCCTGTTGCAATGATATTCTACTGCAATGAATCATAGGCCTGGTTAAAAAAAAACATCTTACTCTTAAGGTTCCTTCCAGCTAAATCCCTATGTATCAGAAAAAATGTTCCCTGTTTTAGAAAAAATGTTCTTAACCTGAGGCCTGTGAACTTGCATTATTTATTATGTTGATGACTGTATTTCAATATGTTAAGCATCAAATACTTATTACGAGAATGAGATATGAAAGTTTGATCAAATCTGCAATCTGCAATACTTTGGTTCAACATTAACCCAAATTGCTAGATCTGGGTAGCTACTATAATGACATTGGAATGATAATGCAATTTGAAAATGAAATCACTTCACCCAGAGACAGAACCTATAAATACTCCCATGCTTTAGAAAGCAAAACCACTTCTGGGCCTTGCGTCTAGCAAAATGCCAACTCGATTCAAGGCTAAAGCTGTGACATTATTATTGTTACTCAGATTCTTCTAGTCAAAAAGCACTTTGCCTGGCACTGCTTCAGCCCTCAAAATAACAAGGTCCAGACCACACGCTGCTCCAATTTTCAATTCAGGCTGCTAATAAATGGAAGATGAACAACAAAATGGTAGTGGAAGATTAAAGCTCTTGTCCTGGACGGACTGCCCTTTGGACTCTTGTCAGCTTCCAAAGGGTGGCCAGGAACTACGACAGGAACAAGCCAAGTGCTCCAACAAAGGAGAGATTCATTTCAGTCACTACAAGGTTTGCTGCAAAGATCAAAACATCTTGTGCTGTCTGTATCTATCTGAAAAGGGAAAAATGCCAAACGTACCAGAAACCTGAAAGGCTGTTTAGGAAAGAAAGCATATCCCCAGGGCCTTTCTAGTTCAAAACCAGACAATGAAGAGGTCCCCAAATAAAATACAGCTTCATACCAACCTAAAAAAAAAATGCTAACAGCCACAAATTCTTAGGCAAAAACATGGGAAAGAATAGAATCGATTCACATAAAGGAATCAATAAGTAGAAAATAAGGATGATATTTTTCATAGAGAAAATCAGCTATCAGGAGAAAAGTCCCTGAGAGCAGCATTTATTAACACAGAGTGGTAGTCCCTGGGGAAAGGGTGGGATTAAACAAAGGACTCGAAGAAATCTGTTTGCTTAGTCTTTTTCTCCCAAATTCTAAAGCAGGTGTTACCAAAACCAAATTTAGAGGTCTCTACCCATTTAAGGGTTTAAGGGGTCTGACAAGACAAAGAGAAATGCCCCACTCTTTCTCCCTGTTTCTCTCTCTATTCCACTAAGCTCTGGCTCTGGACAAAGCATTCCTTCTAAGGAGTGCTAGTGAAACCAATAATAGGACCAATTTCCAAAACAGATCACTGACAAGTGATTTCATTTAGAAATAATACGGCAAATGTCAGTCATCTTTCTAGAATTTATTTCCCACTATTGCAGATTTTGGAATAATAAGTCAGGCTCTAAAATTCTTCTCTTTCATTTGGTCATGATGTTCTCTCACAAACAATGGGATAAGGGGAGGCATTGTGATACGGTGGTCCAAGCAGAGGTGGGAAATAGAAAACCTGAGCTCCAAGTTCCACCTTGGGGGAATTTATCTGTGCGACTTGGGGAAAATCTGGAACTGATCTTCTCATTTATAAAATGAAGATTTTGGTCTAGGTCACCTCTAATGTCCTTTTCTAATTCTTACATATTCTGATTCAAGTAAGGAGATGCTAGCTAACAGGGAGGTCACATACAATGGCCATGTGGTTCAAACACTGCTTTTCATATCCTGAACCTTTATGAAATATGCACCTGGAGGTGATAAAACGGAGGCACATATTAAAGCATGTCTAGTAGGATCACATTTTATTTTACACAATCCCCCAAAACACCTTCTGTAACTCTGGTTATAGTGAAGGGACTTCAGCCAGAGTAGCAGAGAAGCAAAAGCATAATGCTAAGAATTAGGGGATCTACTTTTCAGTGATGACCCTGAGGTTAATTTTCTAGGAGACGCAGTATCTTCGTTTGTAAAATAAGAGGATTAGACTGGAGGATGGTGCTACCTTGCAGCTCAAAAACGTGAGCAGAGTGGCTGAAAATGAAGACAAAACTCTTCCTGTTGGACCTATGCTTTTCCAGTCATTGTTCTTCTGCCCTAGCTATTAGTGATCTGTGAAGTGAAATATTTCCCCCTTCCGCCTTGCCTAGGCAAATATTACTTGTGCAGAATTGATACGAAAGCACTGAGCATTATTTGTGATGTCTAGCAAAATAAATGGCTTCTTAAATCTCTCTTAGCCTTAGCTCCGTAGTGTAAAATGGGGGAAATCATTATTGAACAGCCTACCTCATAGCTTTGTGAAGTACTACATAAACATGCACCATATGTTATCATTATTATAATTTCCATCTGAAAGCACATAAAAGGAACAAGCATAAAAGGAAAAGATATTGGTCCTGAGCATAATAGCTGACTTTTTTAAGATGCAGAAAAATAAAAAAATAGTAGTCTACCTTGTATTTATTATTTTTTTCAGAGTTTTCACAAATACTCCTTACATATTGTGCATAATATTTAAGTGTACTGAATATATTTTTCTTACTTTTTTCTTATTAGAAGATACTACCCTGGATGCTATTTTGATAGCAGCGAAAATTTTAATTCGAGGGAGCAGTTAGGTGGCCCAGTGGATAGAGCATGGCCCTGAAGTCAGGAGTACCTGAGTTCAAATCCAGCCTCAGACCAAACACTTGACACACTTACTAGCTGTGTGACCCTAGGCAAGTCACTTAACCCCAATTGCCTAAAAAAAAAATTTAATTTAGCATCCCTGAACCCCCTTTTTAAGTTTTCAAGTAATAAAACTCATGTCCTTGCTTATGTTAGTTCATAGCACTCAAATTTCTAAGCATTCACTCTAGGTAACAACGTTTGATTTGTTTCTAAAGTACTGAAGAAAACTACAGGCATCTAGTGTTTATGGTTACCATAGAAACAAAATGGCACCTCTCTAGTGTCTGAGTTCAGAGGAATTAAGACCAATAGCCTCTCTCAAGTCATTAAGTGAAATCAAAACACTAACTGGTGTAATCTTCTTCTCACTAGACAAGTATGTAAACCTAAGCTTGGTGAAAAATATACCCAGAACAGATGCACCTGGGATTGATAGCTGTGAGTGGCTTTCATCTAAATGCTTTAAGTAATATCTCATTTTAATCCCCAAGACCTTTAAAATTAAAAAAAAAAGACTCAAGGGATAAAACAAGCCATCTTCAACAAGAGCCCCCAAATGATCCCATTAATTACAATAAACACAGCAGCTGAACAAAACCATTTTTCTGGTGTAGCACTTTGCTAATTAATGGATTTTCCTCAAACCTTACCATCTGCTGCAATCACTTTGGGAGCACCTGAACACAAAAAGATTGCTGTTCCAGGCTAGTTTGTGAGAAAGAAAAAAAAAACCAGCCCTCTGACTGACAATGAAGAGGATCAATAAAGTTGTGAAGCGCAAAGAGGAAGAGGTAAACAAGAGAGGGGTGGTATCGGAGCATAGACGGCCTGCCTTTTTTAAAGGCAAAATTTACTAAGAATTTAGTGTTGGCTGAATCTTTTTGCTTTAAAATAATTTTTTTTTTGGTCATCTGATGTTGTATGCGGAATCAAAGCAGCAAGTGAACTGATCTACACACCAAAAAGTAGCAAAAAGGAAATATGGGAGCATGAAAGACAAGGGAGGATGGAGTTAGAATACTTTAAAAAACCTTAGAAATGCTGGTTAACTTCGAATATTGACTAATTAGAAGCCATGCTGAAGGTCTGGAGCCTAGCTGTGTAATCTGATAAAACCGAAGTGCCATAGTATTACATATCATCTACCTGGAACCGGAGGGGCAAATAGTCCTCACAGAGATCATCCCACAACTCTTGCAGTTCAGAAATCTCCAGGGAATAGCCCACAGGTGTCTTGGAATGGGGTTTCACAGGCCTGTTGAGGAAACTGGGACTGGTTCCATCTGTCATGAGATGGCCAGGCTTGGCTCCGGGTGGACTGGATTTCACTGGTATAGGAAGCTTGCTCCCCCGGGGGCTCTGGATGGGCTTATAGTCAAAACCTTTAATCATGCTAAGAGCTAGCTCCAGCTTGTGGCCACACGTGTACTGGATCGCCTGATCATCTGAGCAGCAATCACACTTTGGGAGTTCTTTGCTGCCTCTCTCGGGTTCCTCATCCTTCTGTTGTGCAAGGCTGGCCTGTACAGTAGCATCCAAAGATTCCACAGAGGAACCAGGAGTTCCTTCTTCCATGCTTTCCCCATCCGCTGGTACCTTTGTGCTTGATAAGTCTGGAGGCCCAAGCTCTGACAAGGCTGGCTCTTCAGTACATATACTGGTAGACCACCTGGTAGAAGAAGGCCCATAGGAGATGCTTCTGGCTACCTTTCGGGGTACCTTACAAATGGCTTCATAGTCAGAATCGGCAACCCTTAAAGCAGCACAGCCTCTACACCTCCTGGGCCTGTTGGCAGGGCCCTCTGAAGCATGGCAGCTGTGAGCTTCCTGAGTCTGGTCCTCATTTTCTGCCCAGCACTCAAACCCAGAGTACGCAAAGTCTTCCTGGAGCAGTGCAGTGTATCTGACATCGGGTAAACTGGAAATATCCACAGTCCCAATCCCTGCTTTGGCCTCGGTGCTGGGGTCATCATTATTCTTCCTGTACATGCTGGCGATGCAGAATTTGAGGCGGTCCTTCTCAAGCAGCAGCTTTTGTAGGCGCTCGATGGAGAGGGCTTCGATTCTGGCGATGACCGTGTCAAAGCGATAGACCCGGTCCAGCATGAAAGCGCACTTGCTGCAGGCAAACTCGCCCTTGCCATCTCGGGAGACATCCTTGCCCAGGACGTGGGACAGGAGCACCTGGAGGTTGAGCTTGGTGGTGGTGTGGAAAATCCAGCGCCGCTGGTTGCCGCACAGCTCTCGGGCACAAATCCTGCAGATTTCCTTCATTTTCCGTCCTGGCTGTGCCTGGATTACCAGGGATGGGCTGGGATGAGCTGGGGAGGGATGGGAAGGGGATAAGGTGGGGTGAAGATGAGATGGGATGGGCTGGGAGGAGGTCAATCACAGTGGGGGCTCCGCGGCGTGGCTCCGGGGCTCGCTCGCCTGCGCGCCATGCCCCCGTTCACCCGCTTTCCGGCTGGCGCACACCTGTGCCTCTACCTGGGCCCGCCCGCGCGTGCGCGCGCCCCGCTCTGGGTACCACTCGCAGGGAGCGCGCGTCCCCGCCCCTCGCCGACCCGCCGTCAGCCGGCGGGAGCCTCAAGGGGATGCCAAGCGACCGCGGCTCCGGCCTCCTTCTGAACCGACCATCCTGGCTTTGGCCATCCAGCCACGAGCACGGTGTTCTGGCCTCTCTTCCTCTTCCCGCCGCTGCCGCCGCCGGCCCCGCTCAGGGCCGCTGATGCAGCCGCCGCTACTAACGTTCTAGCTCAGAGATTGAGGATCAGATTTCAAGATGGCGCCAGAGGCCCCTGCGCATGCGGGAACCGCAAAGCGCTTCTGGGAGTTGTAGTCCGAGGGGCCGGGGCCGGGACTCTGATCAGGCTAGGGCAAAGAGTCTCCGGGCGTCCCCCGCTCTGCGGGGTGGGCTTCGGCAGCGGGCACGGCGACGGCGAGGGCGATGTGCCTTGCTAGCTCGGGCCTCTGCAAGAAAGGTCCTCAAACCTGCAGGCTGAGTCTCTCGGAGCTGTCAGTCTGGTGGTTGCTACTCCTGCGCAGGGACAAGGGGAGGAGAGAGCAAACTCCCTCCTTCTCTTCTTCCTCCTCCTCCTCCCCCCCAGCCGCGGGGACAGCAAGTGCCACGTACCCCGGTGCGAGCTGGCAGCGCCATCCACCACCTCTCCTCCTCTCCCTCCCTACTCAGCCCGTGCCCGGGCATCATTTCAGACAGTGGGCACATCATGAAACGTGCGCTATGGATGCGAGATCTCTTCAGAGGACGGAGGAATCTCCTCTCACCTCACCGGCTGTAACTTAGTTCAAACTGTCCAGGAAAAAGGGAAGGCGAGGGCATCTCCGGGAGCACGGGAAATAGAGAATAACGTAACCCCGAGGGACAAAATATCCTTGCAAGTGCAAGTGCCTGACAAGGAGGCAGAACACCCCAGAACACACCCATGCAATCAGGAATGCGTTCTGATTGAGTGAGAATGGATCTGGAAGGGCATTAATAACAATGATAATAATAGCATTTATATAGCCTTAAAGAGTACAGGGTATTTTATGTGATCGTCACAAAACCCAGAACGGTCCAACGAACTCAATTTGGTGCACTCAGGTGGACAAATCCTATTTTAACAGAAGAGGACGTGTGGAGGGGAAGACAGATTCTCTTTGGGGGCCATAAGAGAGCCAGATACTCATTATCTAGAGAAGGCCATTAAGTCAGAGCTAGGCCTGGGGAATTTTAGTTAAAGATTAGCTTAGGCACCATTCAGTCTGGATAGTTTTAAATGCATTTCTGATTACCTTTATCCTGGGATTTTTTTTCCTGAATGTTTTTATTCTCTTCCCCCTCCCCCCCAAAAAAAGCCACGGAAAATATAGTTAATAGTCTGTGGCAGAGAGGGGTAAGAAAGGTGAGAGGGAGTTGAATACTAGACCAAGGCTGTGGTAGAAGGGGGAAATGGTAATTTGGAGTTAGGTGTGGCAGATTATAGATTTAGAAAGGGAAGAGGAAAAAAAAAGATCACCAATCCAACCTCATTTTATACATGAGAAAATAGAAGTGACTTGTCCAAGATGATACAAATAGAAAATAGCAGGGGTAGGACCAGAAACCAGGTCTTCTGATTGTAAAGCCAAACTTTTTTTTTTCTGTTTGTACTACATGCCCTGCTTTCTGTGATCTAGAAACTCAAGGAAGCTAAACAGACTCATGCAGTAAGGGAAGTCAGAAGACAATCGCTGGAGTTGAGGGTTCAGAGATGGGAGAAAGGTTTAAAAAAAAAAAAAAAGTAAAGAAATGTGAAAGCCTTGGAGACAAAGATGTGGTCCTCTGGTCCAGTTCCTAGGAGGGGCAGCAAGGAAAAAGGCCTAGGGCTGGATTTTTCACAAATGGAGCAGCCAAGAAAGATGAATCAGGGCTGAGCAGAGTGAGTTTTTTTATTTTTTTATGTTTAGGCAATTGGGATTAAGTGACTTGCCCAGGGTCACACAGCTAGTGTCAAGTGTTTGGTATGAGGCCGGATTTGAACTCAGGTCCTCCTGACTTCAGGACGGCTGCTCTATCCACTGTGCCACCTAACTGCTCCCAGAGTGAGTTTTAAGAAGCATAAAGGGACCCTTTACCAGAGGCCTAGGGCAAGTAGAGAACTGGGGTTTGAATTTGGCCCTGTATAGGGGGAAGGGAACAAACATTTATTAATTGAAAATAATAAACAAATATTAAGCCCCTACTATGTGCCAGGCGTTGTACTGGACACTTCACAGATATTATCTCACTAGCTCTTCACAACAACCCTGTGAGGTAGGTGCTATTATGATCCCCATTTTTGTTCGATTGTTTTACAGTCATATCTGACTCTTTGTGACCCCATTTAGGGTTTTCTTGGCAAGGATTCCTGAGTGGTTTGCCATTTCCTTCTCCAGCTCATTTTAAAGATGAGGAAACTGAGGCAAACAAGGTTAAGTGATTTGCCCAGGGTCCCATAGCTAGTTAAGTGTTGGAGGCAGGATTTGAACTCAGGTCTCCCTGACTCCACTGCACCACCTAGCTGCCACTTCTCCAGGATCTAGTCTGGAAGGTAAAAGTGATAGATAAGAGGACCCTTAAGGTCCCAGTTCAATTTATTAACAGTGGAGATATTAACTGGGTCTGGAGATAGAACAGGGGTTCACATCTGGGGGCTGGTTCATGAACTACCAAGATTTCTGGGGTTCCATTAATTTGGATGAAAAAAATTAATCTTCCCACTAGACTTTGTTATCTTTGTAATCCTGTGTATTTTATCTTCTACATTTAGAAACATTATTCTGAGAAGTGGTTCATAGGCTTTCCCAGATGCCAAGAGGGCCCATGATACACACAAAGTTAAGAACCCTTGAGGCAGAGACTCCAGATTCAAAATGCCGCCTCTGACATTTACTGACTGAGTAAATCACTTAAATTTTCTGGGCCTCAGTTTCCTCTGCTGCAAAATATGGGGCTTGGGCTAGATAGTTCCTTCAGCCTCTAGCTGGCTGACCCTATGTTCAAGAGCAGTATTTGGTTTAACCCCCGTATGTTGGTTCAATTTATTAAACAGTTTTAAGTATCTCTTATGAGCAAGGCACCGTATTTAGTTTGACTGGTTCAGCTCAGATCTAGTTTAATAACTGCACACACTATACAGCACTTTGTTTTATAGGTCATTTTCTTCACAACTCAATGAGAGAGGGAGGGTAACTATTATGATCCCTATTTTATGGAGGATGATCCCAGGAATTAAGTGCCTTGTCTAAAGTCACCCAGCTAGTAAAGGGGCAGAACAAGGTCGTGAGGCCTAGTCTTCAGTTCACTGTTCTTTCCAACCACAGGTTGGGGATACTGCCCCTTGGGGGGCTCTGGAACAATCCAGGGGGGGCATAGTAGCTTTGGGTGTAATTGGGGGGCGTTGAATAAAGGTAAGGGGGCATGGAAGCATGAGGAAAGAAGAGAAGAAAATTTTGAAAAATCATTCTTATATGTTTCCTCTATTGTGTAACAGAGTTAAAATCGTCATAATCACATTATTTTCCAAATAAGCACATAAAATGCAAGTTATAACCGATCAACAGTCAAGTAAGCAGGTCTTAACAAGCGTTGGCAGGGTAGCGTGTCGTGCATTTGTCTGGAAGTCCAGCATGTATCTGTAAAAATATGTTCGTGTAATGATTTATTTACAATATGATACCATACTATATCACATCATCAGAATTTCAATACTGGAGAAAACCCCACAAATTTACAATAAATTTTTTAATTTAAGATGTGTCACTTTTAAAAAATATATATATTTTACATTTTTTTGAAATGATACAAATTTCAAAAAACAAATATTAGAAGGTTAAAGAAAGTAGATTTCGGGGTGGGGGGGGACGTTGAGTAATTTTTTTCTTTTTTTGAAAAGTTGATGGTAGGCCAAATCAGTTTGGGAAGTTTTGAACTAAACTAAAGGAGAAATCCCCTGGTAAGCAGGTCCCCAGTTACACTAGCTATCCCTGAGAAGAAGGTGTTGAGTGCCCCACGTAGCACCCAGTGTGAATGCCTTGCTTCCCAACAAAGAAGACACTTTTATAACTCTGCTGTTCTAAATTTTATGCACCAAGATAGAGTTCTAAGATTCCAAAGTGGGGTTTGAACGCAATTGCAATAAATTGCACCATCTGTTTCCTTAGACCCTCAATCTGGTATGCAAATATTCAAACCAGGGTATCATCATATTCAGCTACAGAAACAGCAAACAAACAGCTAGTAGTTTCGTTTTGGGGGTAAGGTTGGAGAGCTCTCAGGTCTTAAGATACCGGCCCTGCCGCGACTTCCAAACCTCTGCTGCTGTCTCCTGGAACTTCCCTCCAATCTGAGCCTCCTCAAGTCTGTCCTTGCAGAGGTAAGGTCCACCCCCCTCCCCCACAGGGGAATTCCTCCTCTGGCCTCCATTTTGTAGAGGGCCTAGCTTGGCCAGACTGTTCCCTTCCTGACTTTCCAGCCTTCATTCTCCTTTTGATTCCACCCGCTGATTTCCAACTTTCAAAACAAGCCCCCCGGGGAGAGGTGACCTTCACTTCAATACCTACCCCTTTCCCTTTTAGGTGTTGTCTTCCCAAATTAGAATGTAAGCTCCTTGAGGGCAGGGACTGTTTCTTTTTGCTTGATTTTGTATCCCTGGTCTTTCACTTATCCCTGGTAAACAGTAAATGCTAATTAAATACTTGTTTCCTCCCTCTTTTCTTTCCTTCCAGTTACAATACCTTATTTAACTATACACATCATGGTCCTGGTCAAATCGGAACAATTCAATCCAAGGCTGTCAGTATAAGGTATGTTGTAAGGGGGATGCTTTTTCCCGACTCTGAAGTCCTACGAAATACCTAACATAAAATTAAGTAGTCGCACAGTCTCCTGTGATTACATTTGCCAGCCCCCCTCTTGTAGGAGTTTCAAGTCAGGACGTGTTGAACAAGATTCTTCAGAAAGGCAGCTGTTGATCTGTGAAGTAGGGAGTGTGCCCTGATACACCCTGATTGACAGAAGGGATGGAAGGGTGTATGCAGACCTCACCTTAGCCCTGGTGGGTGGGTGGGTGGGTGTGATAAGAGAATAACACCCGGGACCAGACACAGATGGAGGCCACAGCATGGATTTTCAATGGAAATCAGACATGCCTATTTTTTAAAGGGCATTTCACTGGTAACAGTTCCCATCTACCTGGTGCTTTACCACCTACAAACCTCCTTTTTATCACAGTGCCCTGTAAGGTGGGTTATACAAATATTAGCTGATGTTTAGTTGTTTTACCATTGTGTCTGACTCTCTGTGACCCCATCTGGGGTTTTCTTGGCAGAGATACTGGGGTGGTTTGCCATTTCTTTCTCCAGCTCATTTTACATAAGAGGAAACTGAGGCAAACAGGGATAAGTGACTTGCCCAGGATCACACAGCTAGTAAGTGCCTGAGGCTGGCTTTGAACCCAGGAAGATGAGTCTTCTATGTTGTTGGTAGGAGCAAAGTATTTATGTTATAGAAAGGCCTCTGCCTTTACAGTTGGCAAATCCTCAAGCTTGCCAACCCTTACCTCAGGAGGGGAGTCACCAAACATTAGGCTGATATAAGGATTTGTGATTTCATCAGAGCAGGGAACTCCCTCCACCTACAGATTTATGACTGAGATAACACTTAGAGAATTCCTTGAACCTCACAGAGTTTTTAAGTGACTTCTCCAGGGTCAGAGAGCTAGTGTCCAGGAATCTGAACCAGACCATAAGGCCAGAGCACTATACCACTGCTTCTATAGTGATAACCTAGAGATAGATAAAGCATAATGTTCCCAGAAGGGGAACATTTGAAAGGGTCGGTCAGTCAAGCATTTATTAAGCCCCTACTATATTCCAGGCACTGCTCTAGGCTCTGGGAATACAAATACAAAAAAGACAGTCTCTTCCCTTTCTAAGGGTTGAACCTATATATTGTCTTAAAGCACTACATACATGTTGGCTATTATTATGTTGTAAAACTGATGAAGTAAATTGGACTTATTTTACAATCATTAAAAATTTGGAGGATAATAAAGCATAGCAAATATATATATATATATATATATATATGTGTGTGTGTGTGTGTGTGTGTGTGTGTGTGTGTGTGTGTGTGTTTGTGTGTGTGTGTATATATGTGCAAGTGACCTAATTAGCAAATTAAGATCCTCATGATTCTTCCTGTTATCATATTAGCTAGATTTTTTAACCTAAAAATGATGTCTAATTTAAAACTAAAGTTAGATATACTGTTAGGGAGATACTAAAGGACTTATTTATTATTTAGATAATTCATAATAAAATGACTGATACTAATGATTATCTCAGGTATACAATGAAGGGAAACTAGATTGACAGGTAGAGTTGACATAAGGTAAAAGTAAAATAATTAAACATAATAATAGTCAAGTCAACAAGCATTTATATGTCTTATTTGTATAGTACTTTACAGTTTACAAAGAGTTTTCTCACATATCATCTCATTAGAACCTAGCAACAAACTTGTAAGGTATTATTATCCCAGATAACTAGCAATTCTGAACCTAGGGCAAATTCTCTTGGAGAGGTAGAGAGATGCTGTAATATTCGAAGCTCACCCTTGGAAGAAGTTGTACCAGCTGTACTGGGGAATATCTTACCTGATAGCTTCTGTATGCCTCCATAAGGATGTGGAGGATTATGGCACAGGGCAGGCAGAATACCACTTATGGCAGTGCCAACAAAGATGTGTATCCCCTGGATGTCAGTTACCCTCTTGCACCGTGGAATAAAGCCCTAGTGGTCCCAGTTGGGTTACATCTCTGTTTCAGATGAGGAAACTATTTAGAAAGGTTCGATGGTCTGCCAGTGTCATGTAGATGGTAAATAGTAGAGTTAGGTCTTCTGATACAAAGTTCCATGGGTTGTGAAGAAATTACTTATAAAACAAAGTGCTGTATAATGTGTGCAGTTATTAAACTAGATCTGAGCTGCACCAGTCAAATTAAGTATAGTGTCTTGCTCATAAAAGGTACTTAAACAAAACTGTTTAATGAATTGAACCAATATACAGGGATTAAATCAAATACCACTCTTGAACATAGGGTCAGATAGCTAGAGGCTGAAGGAACTATCTAGCCCAAGCCCCATATTTTGCAGCAGAGGAAACTGAGGCCCAGAAAGTTTAAGTAATTTATTCAAATACAGTCAGTAAATGTCAGAGGTGGCATTTTGAATCTGGAGTCTCTGTCTTAGGGGTTCTTAACTTTGTGTGTATCATGGAACCTCTTGGCATCTGGTAAAGCCTATGAACCACTTCTCAGAATAATGTTTCTAACTGTACAAAACAAAATATACAGGATTACAAAGTTAACAAAGTCTAGTGGAAAGATTAATTTTTTTTTCATCCAAATTCATGGACCCCTGAAATCTTGGTAGTTCATGGACCAGCCCCCAGATGTGAACCCCTGTTCCATCTCCAGAGCCAGTTAATGTCTCCACTATTAATAAGTAATAAGTTGCCACTGGGACCTTAAGGGTCCCCTTATCTATCACCTTCATCTTACAGACTGAATCCCTGAGACTTTAAGGTTTATAAAATCTTTACAAACATCTCATTTTATCTTTCCAACAAGCCTGTGTGAAGGTAGGTACTATTAGTATCCCTATTTTATAGATGAGGAAACTGAGGCAGACAAAAGTTAAGCAACTTGCCCACGGTCACACAGCTAATAAGTATCTGAGGTCAGATCTGAACAAGTAGACAAACTTTTCAAAACAAGAAATTATAGACTCAGAGACAGACTGTTCTCAGGACATGAAGGGGAAGGAAGTCAAAATGATTTCGAGGTATTTAAACTAGGTAATGGATAGTGGGTCTTACCACCAGCAGAAGTGTGGTAATTCGAAGGGAAGACAGTGTATGGGGAGGAAGTATAAAATTGTATTTTGAGATATGTGTAATTTAAAAACAGTGGAGTGGTCCAGCATACAATTGAAAATGGGGGGGGGGGGGCAGCTAGATGGTGCAGAGGATAAAGCTCCAGCCTTGGAGTCAGGAGGACCTGAGTTCAAATGCAGCCTCAGACACTTGACACTTACTAGCTGTGTGATCCTGGGCAAATCACTTAACCCCGATTGTCTCACCAAAAACAAACAAACAAACAAAAAAAGAAAATATGGGAGAGCTGAAAAAGGCCAGTGTCAGAGACCACAGGCCCTTGTCACTGGCACAGCCCTCAGAGAGAGGCACGGTCTTGACCAGATGGGTCAGGTATGAGAGCTGGAAGCTGAGCCTGGCAGCTGTTAAGCTCTTCACTGACCTTAGCCCTGGTAATTTTATTTCTCGGGGTGTCTACTCTAACTGACCCTGTAGCTCCAGATAGATATGACCTTAGAAGTATGCCTGGACTCCATTTTCCCAAGGCAATATCAGCATGAGCAGTGGTGTGTTGGTAAATATTTAACAACTGGCTCTTTGGAGGGTTAAAAGTGCACGTGACACACTTTTAATTTTAATTTGTATTAACTTTTTTCTCCATCAGTTTCTGCAGTGTAGATAATCAATAAAACAATAAATCAAGCCCAGATTTATAGCATCTGTTGCTTGCCATGGCATATACACTCACACTGCAAATTTAACAGCGGGCTCCACCTGGTTCAAGCTGGCATACCGCTATGCATGAGATGTACCAACTAGTTTTGCCATTGATTCTATTGACAATTCCCACTGATACTCTGGCATGGTGGTAGAAAAGTAGGATTCTCTGATCTCACTGTGGTTTTGTCAACATGCTGAAGCAAAGATCATTCCTCCATTTCTTGCACATAGATCATAGAGCTCTTAATTTGTCCTCGAGATAATAGGGTTGGGCCAGTTATTAAATTACCAGCAGTTTTATGATAGTGGAGCCTGAGCTAAATACCTTGCAAATCTGAAATCATCACCCCCAGGTGAAGCCCCCTGCATCTAGCCTTTGCAAAGGTTTTTTTTCCCCCCTCTCTGTTTCTTATACTGCTTTTTGTTCCAGGTGCCTGCTTGCTGCTGACAGGGTTAGGATGTAGCTTTGGGAGAGACCCACCTAGCAGTAATAACCTGAATCATGTGAGTGGAGGAGATCCCTGAGGAAGGAAGTGGATGACGATAGGGAGAGCATGATAGGGAGAGTGGAAAGGGATATTCACAGTGAAGGTCAGAGTAGGAAGAGTACCCAGGGGAGGAAACTGAGAAACAGGAAGGCAAGAGGGAACTAGGAAGAATAGAGGCAGAGAAGGCAAGGAAGGAGAGCTCTAATTAATGGGCTGTTAATAGCATCATGTGCTTTGGAGAAATTAAAGAGGATGAGGCCATTGCACCTGACACAATTTAGGTCATTAATAGCCAACTATAAAGAATATGTTCTTTTCAAAGGAATCTTCAGTTTTTCATTAATGAATCTTGGTTAATTAATTTTTAATTTTTCATCATTCCAGTCTCTTATCTACAGATAGAAAAGGGATAAGAGAGTAACCATTCACATGTACAGAGGTAGATGACCTGAGTTCAAGTCCCAATTGCACCATTTTTTATTTGCAGAACCTTAACTAGCAAAGGGCCAGAAGGACTTTGCCTGAAGGTGTTGACACATGCAGGGAGAGGGTGCTTTATGCATCCAAAGTGTTCTTGTTTCCTCTGATCCCTGTGAAGTCAGTAGTATATAAGTATTATTATCCCCATTTTACAGATGAGGAGAAGCTCAGAAACTGGCTGGGAGGAGGGGAGAGAAGTCACACAACCCGAGAAGTCATGCCAGGCAAGGGGAGGTGGTCCA